TTAAATTATGTAGGAATGCCTTATATTAAAACACAGGTCATAATCACTTACATCCCATTGCCTCCTAGTCATCTGACTGGATTTTAGGACCAGCCACGCTCTGGGGCGTACACGGCTGTTAGCAAGGCGGCTGCGCCATGTAAGTCAGCAAGTCCAGCGTCAGCCAGGTCAGTGAGAGGCATTTTTACCTTGGATACCCTGAGAGCACGGTACATAGGCACAGGCAAATGCCACAAACACTGGGGGCTTGTTTGTTTTGATTTTCTTCACTCAACAGTCAAAGTGAATAACAAAAGCTTCAGGAAACTTTTCTGAGGATTTATAAGCCATTCATTACCCAGTTGGGCAGCAGCCACTCCCATCAAGGACTAAGGCTTGTAGTTTTAACAGATGTCGCCTTTCTCTTTGATCCGCTCCTTAACATAAATGAAAATACCTACTCTCCCCCATGCCAGTGCTGCATACCGAGTTAGCTGCGGCCCCAGCCAGGCTATTCTTTGCCCCAGAATGGCAGCAATCAGTGAGAACTTTCCATGAGGACAAGCGGGCTGCAGGGCTCTGAGGATAAAGAACGATGTGTGTTTCATTACTGTGTGCAAGTCATGTATCACCCAGCATTCGTATCAGAGAATTTAATAATGACCCTATGCATGTGTATGGCCCGTCTGAGTCCCAAGAAGCTGTTGCTAAGTGCTTCTGGCACCCACTGCTCTCACTCTGCCAGGTAGCTGTCTTGGCCTGCACTATCCACCGCAGTGACAGGTGGTTCAGAGCCCAGGAGGCGAGAGGCGGCTGCAAAAGGAACTTCGAGTTTCCTTTTCCATGTTAGTGCCTAGAAAAAGGACAGTCCTCTGTTTCCCATAAAGATAGCCAAATAAAATAATGAACATGGGTTATGACTTGTAAGCCCCTCTTAAGGTACAATTTTTTTTTAAAGTTATTTTATTTTTAAAATAAGCCTGTACCACAAAAGTGGCAGGAATAAAATAGAATAAAATGATTTAACCTTTACAATACAAAGTGGAATATTTGCAAAAGTAGCCAGCCGGAACTTAGGCTATTTGTCCACATCGTAGACCACGGCCAAGTGTTTCACCACGGGGCTTTGCCGCGCGTTGATCACCGCCTGGGAGCTGATTTTGCCGAGCACCCATAGGATGCAGCAGGCTCTTCTGGAAACGCTGCCCTGTTTCTATTCATTCATGCATTCCCTGGTGTTTCCAAAAGAAGAGCGGAGGACACTTATAAAAATAAATCCAATATAAGAAGAGGAAGAGAGATGAAGAAATCAGACTGGAGAGTAAACCAGGACAGGAAATGAGTGCGGTGGAAAGCCAACACGAGATCTACACGCAGTTGTTAATGGTTGGGTGCAAGCGTGGCCCTGCACGGCCGGGAGTCCACAGCAGAGTAGAAAGGATCGGATCAAGGCCACTGCTGGAAAGCCACACCCTGCCGTGCAGGGAGAGAGGCGGAGAACTTCCACACCTGAGTCTGGCAACATTTGTCCCGAGGCTCCATCCAGAGGGTCTTAGGCAAAAAGTGTTGACGGGCAGTGAACACAAACACTACCTCGAGTTTCCCATCAGCACCAGCCAGGGACAGTGTGTCCACACACGCAAGGGCTCCCAAGTCCGTTCCAGGGGGTGCATGTCCCCGAGCAGCCCAAATACTGACATCCAGACACTCGGCTTGGGCAGCTTGACGTGGGAACCCCCAACCCATGCAGCTTCACATTTCTCCATTGCAGTAAACTCGTCTCCTTTTTAGAAACATCACTAAGCCATGTTCTCCTTTTTTGAGATTTCAAAATAGATACTGTGCATAAAAATAAATCAAAGAAGTCATCATATAAAATGTGTGTCGTCTAACTGCAAAGGTCTTGCAGTGACTTTGACATCAAGGACTTGAGAGGCATTAGAAGAATGGGAGTGATGCTCACTGTAAAGGGACAATTCGCCCAAGGACTTGGGCTTCGGGATTTCCCTTGGAGAAGATCATAATGCATTGGTACTGTCACATAAAGCAGTAAGTCACAGAGAATGTAATCAGCCTGAGACAGAGTGGGCTGCTAGCAGCCAGCGAGCTGGGACTACCGTTATCTCAGGAGGAGACTCGCACAACCATGGGCAGGCAGGGCTGAAGTTTGAACTCTGGCCCTCGGGTCCTCAGGCTGAGAGTTCAGCCTCCAACCTACAGGACCTCAGGGACCTGACTGCTTTAACTAGCTCCTTTGTCCAAATCCTTTTTACATCTCATGTCCGCAACACACCAAAACATAAATGTAAATTGTCATCATTAAATCCTGGATATAATGATGCCAAACACTGCTGGACTGATAGACACATTTGGGAAGCTGATGAAAGCTATAAACGCTCTTAGCAAAGAATCCTCACCCTCACAAAACTCACCTACAACTTTAAGGACCTCGTAGGCTCCAGGAAATCAGCTGCCATGTCAGTCTTAAAGATCAGAACCAACTTGTCCCAGTAAGCAGGGCACATCTCACGTCCTGCGGTGTCTCCGAGTGGGTACGTACTATATGTGCGCATGTGCACACACGTACCCTCCCTGCAACCCAGCGACCCTGGGAGAGAAACCTCAAGTCCTGCAGCCCAGCTGGGTCTTGTTTCGCCACTAGACCCAGCTCATCCCCACCCAGGTGTCACATGTGATAGAGGCCAGCAGAGATTGATGACAAGACCTACAAGAACTTCCTTGTGACCCAAGTTGCAGGATGCAGTGTCCTTCAGTGGGGTACCCTGGGAGCCATGCAGAATTCAAGGAGCTTCCTGTGTATGTCAAGCTCTGGACTTGCACCTGTGGTTCTTTTCAGAGCTCGCATCTGTGCTGGGAGTGCAAGGAGGGACACAGGTCACAGAGCGGGTGGGTCATTGCTACTGTGCACTTCTGCTGTGCTCAAGTTCTTCCTTAAGACCTACTATCGAGACTAACTGTTAAGGCCAGACAAACACGAATGGAGGGAGAGCCTTCCAGAGACTTGTAAAACTGTCCAGCTCGCAAGGATGAGGGAAGACGGGGAAGCTGCTGGAGATCAGAGGAACTAAGAAAATGAGCCAAACCCAGAGTTCACATTCTGAATTGAGTCCTAGAGCAATAGCAACAAAAGTCATTAGTGGAGGAACAGGTTAAACCTGCACAAAGTCTGGAGTCTAATTAAAGCCACTGGATCCGCAGTAACTCTTTAGCTTTGGCAGATGTACCGTGGTTAAGTCAGACGTTAATGCGGCTGAAAATTACCTCCATCATTTCTCAGCAAATCTGAATTGCTCCAAAATAAAAAATTATGTATATAATGCTCCTCCTGCCTCAAAGTAGAGCTGGGCCAGGCTGGAGACTGCTCTTGGGATGCTGCTGTTTGTGGCCCTGTAGTGCCTCCTTTTTTTTTAATCTTTGGGTGGCCTTTTGCATTGTTCATCATTCTCTCTCAAGACCCCAGATGAGTGAAATCTGCTGTCCCCTGGGTTCTGCCATCCCCACTTCTGTGGTGTGGAAAATGGAAAATTCTCCCCAGAGTGCACTGTGGTCTGCAGGGTGGGGCATGGGCCCAGGGAGTGGCTGGAGTTTGGGGAGGCCCCTGCCTTGGCCAGTGTGCTACTGCAGCATGCTGGTGTGTGCAGAGGGAACAAGACAGAGGGGCCTGGACCCCCTGCAGCCCAGGCAAGGCAGGTGCACCCCACTCGGAAGCGATGCATCTGCCAGATTAGAGCTGCTTTGGAAGCCAATGAATTATGAAGCTGCAGGAAGACAAGTAGATGAAAATCAAAATGCTGAGATGAAAATCACAAAGTTGAGAGATGAAAATCAACACTGAAAAGAGGAGATTATAGCTGAGCCTCAAGGACCTCTCTTGTCACATCTGCCTCCACCTGCCAGCTGGTAGCAGGTCCTATCTCAGACACCACGGCTTCTAAAAGCTGCCGAAGGCCTTCCACAGAAATCCCCTCCCACCATCTCAAGGAGTGACGCCCATACTCCACAGCTCGGGACCAGTACGGACATCTCTCACAGTGCCCATGGCCACCCATGTCCCCACGACCCTCAGCACACTGGAGCTCCGGGTGACACCTTGCTGGCCTGTCCAGACCTAAGCTCCTGCTCAGGGACAGGTTCTCCTTGCTTAGACGCTGGCCTCAGTCACTCATTTAAGCTGCTGTCTGCAAGGTCCTGCACTGCACAGTCCTGGGCTGAGTCCTAATCCAGGTGCGGGCACTGATGCTGCCGAAGCATCCACGTGTATCTAGGGCATTCCCAGTAACTACAGACCCACGAGGTAGCCGTCTTTAGTTTCCATACAGTGTGGTTCAACGAGTCACATTGATTCATTTTGAAATCAATGGCCAATTGCAAAATGAATGGAAAAGCTATCAAAGCCCAGAAAGCTTAAGAATCCTCTAAAATATGTCATCAGCTATTCTTTCCTTTCCAGCTAAAGTAGACATCTAGACCAAAAAGGTTACTGTCCAATCCGTCCAGTCACACCAACCCTCAGTGTCCCCTAAACAGAACAACTGTATTCAGAAACAAACCAAATAAAAGAAGAGCAATGGCCCTTTGCTGACCTTGAGCCAAGATCCCCATGCTGACCTTGAGGCAGAGTCCCCATATGTTGCTGCCCCCTTGCTGGGCTCTGCCTGGTAGGTTTTCCTAGTCCCTTTCCAGGGAGGCCCAGTCACTTGCCTCCAGCTCCACAGCTGGTCTGTGTGTCCCTGTCCCCTCCCTCCTGCAGCCCAGCCCTGGTCAAGACTCCATCCTGGGTGGGTGAACTTTTGTAAATCAAAACAGCTGTCTGAGATGGAAAGGAGCCAGCGGCCCAGTGGCCCATTCGCAGCCCCCACACAGCTATATTAATTCCCTCCTTCACCATTTCCAAGTCCCAGAGCACTGCCTCTGTCTACTCGCCCAACTTTTGGGCCTCAGAGCACTTTGAGCAAGTTAGAGATGTGAGACGCTGGGAACCAGAAGGTGCAGACACCTACCTTACGGGGCTTCAGAGGCTCCTCACCACCGTGCTTTGGATGGCAGTGACCTTCTAGCTGTACGCAGCAGGTTGAAAGAGAAAGCCCATCCCCAGAGTGCTCCGATTCCTCTAAATCAGTTTGTGTAGCTCGTGGCTTCCTGCTGCAGCAGGCAGAGGTGTCAGCGCGATGTCTGTGATCAGAGCTCCCATGGCTGCCCCCCAGGAGCTAGTCAGCATGAGCCCCCTCCAGTGGGCACTGTGTAGTTCTCCGTGGGCTCACTAGGTCCCATAGCCCCTTTGCTCCAGAATAACAGGGCCACAAGCAGGTGACCTTCCCCTGGCCTTGGGCCACGCCAGTTACAATGCCCCTTGGCCACCCAGAGGTTTCCTCCTGGGGTTTTGGTTTAGCAGCCTGGCTAGAATTTTCCCACACCAAGTCGGGCAGAGTTAGCAAACCTCCAACCAACTGCAGAGTACCTTGCTCTGTCTTGCAGACAAAGAGTTCAGGCCCTGCCTGTGCCAGCCACCTGTGGGAGCCAGGGCAGTGTTTGCTCAGCCTTGTTGGTTTGGTTTTGTCTTTTAAATGATGCTAATAATAGCTAGGCCACAGGATGCGACACAGTAAATGGTAAGGTGAGCATGCCTGGCGGGCATGGAACCAGCGCTCAGCGTGCGCAAATGCCTCCTGGGCTGTGCAGCATCCCGGCAAGTAGCTGGGCTCAGAGCGGCGTCAGTCCTGGTGCTTCACAGGCTCGGCAGAGCTAGAGGAGCAGAGACAGGAGTCTGGCAGGTGAGGGGCTGTCCTGCTCCGCAGCAGTTTGGGGACCAGCAGGACCAAGCCGGCTGCTGAGCTGACACAGAGACTGCTGGCCTAGAGACACGGTGAGCTGCTGGTCAATGGCTCCTCCAACCATCAGGAAGACCCAGGGGAGGCCCTTCCAGTCCCTGGGGTCTGGGACCCCTGAGGGGGCTGTGGGCAACGCCCGCCAGTTTCTACACCACAGCCCACAAGCCGGAGCTTCTTTCCTCAGAGTTTAGGGCTAAGCACTCTTAAGGGAAAGTTTCCAAGAGGTGTTCACAGTAGCGCTGCAATACGGAGTTCTTGGCATTAAGGCGCCGTGGAAACAACCTGCTTCACTTCCCCAAAGGGCTTTTGTGAGAATAAGGGGTTGTGCACAGAAAGCGCCTGTCATGGTAATTAGCTCAGAGAATGGCGAATCCTGGGAGCTGGTGTGGGTATGCGCAGTCTAAGTCCCAAATCCGATCTTTAATGAGGCCTTGGCCTCGTCTCTCCTAGAGTGGGTTGAAAGCACTCGGGAAAGCGCCCAGAGCCCCGAGCCTGCCCGGTGCATGCTAGCGATCACTAGTGTACAAATTGCAGGGGCCTCCTGACCCGAGGAAGCTGGACCTAAATGTTAAACACAAGGTGAGAGAATTTGAAACTCCTTAAATGTATGCTTTTAAAAGTTGCTGATTTGACATGAGAGTACTCTGGCTCACTATTTAAATTGTATGAACACAACAAATGTCTCTGATCATCTACCCTGTGGCATAGCCACGCTAGGTGCTGGGGACGTAGCTATAAACAGGCACCAGCACCCTGGGGGACTCAGCCAGAGGAGCTCGGGGAAGGAGGGCGTCAGTGAAAGATGGCTACAATTGGGGAACAGTAAATGTGGCTACGGAAGCCTAAGAGGGCACAAAGGCAAGAACAATAACACCATGAAGGATCACTGACAGAAGTTACCAAGCGGGTGGCTTTGAACTCAGAATCCTGCAAACTGCCTCTCAGGCAGATTCCCAGGTTGGATATTTCACTGAACAGGGATTTTGTGAAGCTGCTGCACTTGCTGCTAATGCTTTATCAGTGGGGCCTGAATATATCGTTTTTGGACAATTCAAGTCCCAAAAGCTGGAGCTGGAGCTAAGGAGAACATAACAAGGAGCAGGCTCCCCAGTTTTCTAAGAGAAAACTCACTTTCCCCTGACACTGGCTCTTCTACCCCAAGTTTGAGTGGGAGATGTGACAGTTGGCCACAGGGAGAGGTTTAACTATCTGGCCTGGGTGTAGCCTGGAAATAAGAAATAAGTCTTCTCTCTCTTCAACACACACACACACACACACACACACACACACACACACACACTGATTCCAGCAGCTACTCAGAAAAGAACAAGGAAGTGACAGGGTGACTGGGTGCCAGGTGTCTGAGCGGAAGTGAAAGTCCACTCCGGCCATGTGAACTCTCAGAGTGTTCATGAGACAGGCAGGTGGGAGACAAGGAGGGGACCTGGGGAGAAGGCAGGCAGCAGCTCGCATGTCAAGCCAGGCTGAGGCTGTCTGTCCTTCATGAGCCACTGTTGTTGGAGACCACAGAGAGGCCCCTCAGGGCTGGATGGAGACTCGAGCCCAGCTTGGAAGCCGTCCGCCTCACCGCTCTACTTATTTTTGCACATTTGAGGAGACTTATGCAAAATTCCGACTTTCCTTCCTTGAGGCTACACCAGCCCCCTGATACCAGTTCATCTCTAATCAGAATCAAAGCTGTGGGCAATAGAATATTTGAGTAGGGAAAAAACCCTAAAATGATCCAATCCAAGATTCACCTCAAGGAGGTACCATGAGAAATTGAGCAGTTTCCTTTTGAAGGAACAAATAATAAAACCAGGAGAAATTGTCCAAAAATATTCCCATGTTAGGGCTCCGGAAAATAACCCAAGGCTGAAAACAAATGGAGAAGAGTCTGCTGCTGCACTGGAGTGGCTGACAGCCCGTGGTCTTCTTTCCTGGAGGTGCCTTGCCATTGTGGGTAAAGAAAGGAAAGCACAGGTTTACTGGTAAGAGTGGCGTGCTTGACTTGGAGCTTGTCCGAGAAGGTGAGCAGCCGAACACAGCGGATTTGGTATGGGGTGGGAAGATGAAAACCAGTAGTTTTATGGGCCAGTGCCCATGGCGTCAGTTCTAAAGACAGGAAGTGAAAAGCTGCAGCTTTATCTGCTTGCGGTTACGTCTTGGCTCATGTGGACAGAGACTCAGCTAGAACTGCAATGGGGAGATCTTGCAAATAAGTGCTGAGATCATAAACGAGCTGCACATTCCTCAAGGACCCCCAAGTGTGCAGGAGCGAGCCTTGAGTGGGGAATCCCAGAAGGCTACAGCGCCGAGTGAGCGTCAAGGGAGCCCGGAAGACTTGCGCAAAGTTCAACACGCTCCTCCAGCCACACAGCGTGGGCAGTGCAGGGCGGAGGTTCCCCTGTTCCAGGTGTCGGAGCATAAGCTCCGTGCAGATAATTAGATGATTACTATATAGTGAAGCAAGAGAGGACATCTGAGGGGACCAGACTAAAAAATAACATAAAGTACTAACAACAAACATAAACAAAAGCTGGCCAAATAGCTCAGCAGGATAAAGTGCCTGCAAGCAGGCAGAGGGGCCGGAGGTTCGATCCCCAGGCTGCACCGAGCCAGCGATTGAGACTGGACCTATAATCCCAGCTCTTGGGAGGCTGTAAACAGGCGAATCACTATGAGTCTGATCTAGTAGTGAGACCCTGAACACGCCGTAGACCCTTCCCTAAAATAAAAAATGAAAAAAAAATAAACAGCCCAGTCTAAGGTTCACCTCGCAGATGGTAATATGAGAAGCTGAACAATTTCCTTTTGAAGGAATATAAAATATAAAACAAGATGAAATTAAAAAAAAAATCCCATGTTTAGGCTCTGGAAAATAACCAAAGGCAGAAAAGAAATTGAGAAGTGGCTGCCCACTAGAAAAAGACTCAATCTGTAAGAGAAAGCTAAATTAACTTGCTAAAACAAATGGCTTTCAGGAAAATAAAACAGAAACCAGAATCACTGCAATGTCCAGCTTGCAACCAGGAATCAGTAGGCATGACAAATAAAGCAGGAACACATGCCAAGATGAGTGATTCTAGACAGTCCACAGGTGCTGAGAAGGCCTCAAGGCAGCCTCTGGGGCTGTGTTAAAGAAAAATATGTTCCAAGATTTAAATAAAATTATATTAGCAGGAGTCAACAAACAAGGAATCTCAGTAAGGAAATGGCAATGATTACAAAATGGAATTTCTAGAGCTAAAAACTATGCAAATGGAAACTGAAGTCATGAGATGGGCTCAATAGTGGCTCTCAGGTGACAGAAGACAGATGCTGTAATTCTGAAGACAGAGCAATAAATGTCATGAAGTCCCAAACACAGAAAGCAAAAAGATCTAAGGAATGACATAGTCTTAGAGGTTTGCCAGACGATATAAACTGCCCAAACATAGATGTAATGGGGGAAGAAGAGGAGGGAGGAAAGAAGGGGAGAAAGGCACAGAAAAATTATTGGAAGAAAAACATAGGTAAACGTTCCTCAGTAGGAATGAATAACATTAACTAAGAAAGCCAGGAAATGAAATGAACCCAGTGTAAGATAAAGCATGAAGAGAACTATACTTGGATATCACAGACAAAATGCCAAAAAAACAAGTGCAGACATGATAAACCAAGAAGAGAAAGAGAGGGGGAGAGAGGGGGCAGGAGGGAGAGATGGAGAGAGTGAAGGGAGGGGGAGGGGACAGAGAAAAAGACAGATTCTTTGGGGCAGTCTGACTAGCACAGAGCCCAGGGCGTCTCACCACGTCTGGCTGCTCCCCTAGCCATAGCACTGTGAGAACAGCTCACAGACCCGAAGAGTGGAAACCAGCTCCTCAGAGCTTCTGTTTCAGTGAAACACTGAAATACGAGAAACTGCTGTGAGATGGCCGCACTAGTGGGTCTCAGGTGGACAAGCACAAGGACAGAAGTAGGTGCTGGGGAAGAAGTCTTTTAAACAGAGAAAGACAAAACAAATAGGAAGGGGGAATCTTGGCAAACAGAGAGCACAGGCAGGATGATTTTAGGAGAGAATAACTTCCAAAAGAGACTCTAATTGGTATTAGCTGACAGATAAAGCTGAACCACCAAACAAGAAAAGGAGGATGCTTAAGAAAGGTCAGAGACATTCTGATAAAGCCTTAGAGATTAACATAAAAAGATGAAAAATTTGGAAGATAAAAA